AATGTTCCATTTTAGATATTTAGGGAAACTGAGCTCCCTACTTAGTATGTTCATTTCACAAAATTCTAATAAGTTCAGGATTGGGAACCTCTAAAGATATGTCAGCCAAGCTGTACACTGCGCAGCCCAGAGATGTAAAGTGACTTGCCCAAAGTCACAGAGTCTAGCTTAGACTAGAACTCAATTTTTTTCTGTCCCATTCCAACACATTTTTCACCTTTTCACTTAAATACAAGGTGAACAACATTTTGTGTGGCAAACCAACCACCACCACAAAGAATATTCCAAGTAAGAATTTTGTGAACCTATGAAAAAGGAAATTCCTTTTACTTTTTTGTTTTTAATTCATGTTTAAACTTTTTTTTTTTTTTTTTGCCATTGCTGTTAAGTGTGGTGAAAATTCAGACCGATACCTGGTTCCCTGATACATGACACAATATTCTATCTTGGTTTCAGATTTGGGGTACATTATTGGCAAAGAACATAACAATCTTGAACTCAGATGTGTTAAGGCTGAACATATTTCAATTCTTCACAATGTTTGAGCAATTCTAAATGTGGTTTTGGCAATTCAATAAATCTTGATAAAAGGATAAAAAATATTTATATAAGAAAATTCAGAAGATACATACTATGAAGGCAGACATGGGTGTAAACAGACTGACTTAGAAATCTCTATAAAGGAGTGGAAAGAACATTAAGGTCTATTATCTCAATCATTGTTTTGGTGTCCATTTTCCTCTTGCATAAATTGTCTTTGCTTTTTGAAAAGATTTTAGATTCTATGGTCATTAGGTCACCATGGTCTTCTCATAGAGGAGAAAATCCATATACATAGCAATTAAATATGACATTTCTTAGTAAGATTTTCTAAATTGCAAATAACGGTAAAAAATTTCCTCTTGTCCAGGGACTGGAAGAAGAATGAGGGACTAACAACTTTGTTTTTTATTTTTAGCTGAATGCTCATGAACAGATGCTATATTAAAGTTTTAGGTTCTCATACCTATCTGGGACTAACACTTAGCAGGTGTAGTAGACATTTTTTGGTGCCGATACTGGTCTAGCCCAGCCTCTTTTCTTCCCCTTTCCTGCCAACGGCACCAAAATTTTCCTTTTAAGGAAGTTATTTCCACCTTATTCTCATCCAAGAGAATTATCATCCTACCCTGAGCCCAAAGGATAAGCTGATTCCTTAAGCCAGTCACCTTATCTTATCTGCTCCTCTGTGACCCGGATAGTATGTGGTCGGGCACATGACAATGTGGGCCAAAGAGATTGAGTCCAAGGACTTCTGAGGATGTTATCATTCAGTGTGCTGTGATGAGAATGTGAGTCCTAGAACTTAGCAGGATTTTTTTTGTTTTTGGTTTTTTTTTTTTAAATCTCAAGGGGAAAACCTGGAGTTTTCTAGGGAAGCTAACATTGAGGAAGGCAGAATGGAGGAACAGGGAAAAACACTGTCCTGTTACATGTTGGATCAAGCTTCCACTGAATGTGGTCATGGAGGATGGCTCGATCAGGTGGAGGCTGGTGGCAGGGAAAGTGAAAGGATTCACTCAAGTCAGGCCAAAGGAGGTAGAAGTTGATTGGATATACCTCAAGGAAGCAGTGGACATGACAGCAAAGCAGACACTGTCAAGAGGTGGGGTGGGGTGGGGTGGTGTAGGGTAAGGTTAGGAAGTATGGGAACATATGGAATTCTCTTTTTTTGGGTACCCGTGCTGGGTTGAAACTAGCCCACTGGTCAGCTAGACCTTATTCATAAGCTAGAGCTTATGAATATTTTGAGGTGTGTCACCTAATGGACCTGTTTGTATTCAGTTCAGTGGTCACTGTGGGCACATCTTGCTCAGGTTACTGTGGCTCAAGTTGGTTGCCTAGAAGGGCAAATCCAAAGTACTATTTCTATAATCTGTGCATTTTTCAGGGAATGTCGGTGTGTGATCTCCAAAAGCATGAGGCACTGGCCATGGTGTGAATTCCAGTAATCACACCATAATTGTAAGGGAAACAATTTCCTTTTCTACAGGTAACTTACCAAATACAAAGTTTGTATCAATAAACTCTTACAAATAATAGAACTCTTTCGTTTGAGTCAGTTTTATCAGAAAATGGGAACTATCTGTATACATAAAATTTGTGGGTCCTTGAAAGGCACTGTGTGTTTCACTGTTTTTTCTTTTAGTATCATAAAAGGATTTAGTTTCCTTGATCCATGACCCTACATGGGCAATTTAGGGTGTAATGTGTGTTCATATACCCCGATTTACCACTGTTCTTAGGGTGTTTCCTAATTCCCATCATCCCAGGTTGTTCACGTTTACTAAATGAGACAGAGTGCTCTGTGAGTCACGTGATGGTGGATGTGGCATGTTTACACCACCCCAGGCTCATGTGTGCTTGTATGGTGCCTCAAGCAGAGGGGATTTACCCAGAGGCTAATGAAGCTTAAGACTGAGGACTGTACACTTAACATGTCACTTCTAAGGATCTTGGCCATGGGTGGGGGACCCTCGCAATTTTTACTTGTAACCTTTCATTTGTTTTCCTAGGGAGGGCTTTCCAAAATGATAAAAAGTCAGTCTCACAAAAATAAGGAATATCTTCATTTCTTGGTTTCTTTTGAGAGGTAGGAACAAAGGGAGACCAAAATCCATTTTGGCTTGAGCCCCCACTCACAGTGACCTTTACAGGAATAGGGAATTAAAGCTATTCCCCTCTCCTGGGATACAGAGAACATACCAGTCAGAAGCTGTGCCTTCTGCTCATGTTAGTGAGAGACAGAATCGTGGTGCTCTGCAGCCATACCTGGTTAATAGGCAAAGCGGTGGGCAATGTTATGTTGTGATATGTGGTCAGCTAGACGAGGGTAAGGGAAACCCACAGAACTGGTCAAACATTATGTCTCAGTGTGTTTATGAGGGTGTTTCTGGATGAGATTGATCAGCATTTCGGTCTGTATGCTGACTAAAGAAGTGTACCAATGCAGAGGGGTGTCATCTAATACATGAGGCCCTGAGTAGAATAAAGAGAGGGGAAGGGAGAATTTGTTCTCTGCTTGAGCTGACACATACATCTTCTCCTGCCCTAAGACCTTGGTGCTCCTGGTTCTGGGACCTTCAGGATCAGACTAGGACTTAATACCATAGGTTCCTTTGGTTCTCAGGCCTTTGGGTTTAGATTGAAATGATACCATTGGCTTTCCTGGACTTCTAGCAGAATTGTGGACTTCTCAGACTTCTGAATCATGTAAGCCAATCACTCATAATAAATCTCTTTCTATATATCTATATATAGGCTTTTGGTTTATTTCTCTGGAGAACCCTGCTTAATATTTATGTAGATGAAGAGAGTAAAGACTTCTGTAATTTGTCCTTGGTCCTGGGATAGGAGAATGACAACACAGAGCAGGTGTAACATACAGGCCTCAGGATATTGTGAAGAGGACCCATGGAAACAGGAAGAAACTGAGCGCTACCATGGTAAACAGATTTCTGTTTCCAACAGGCTACTTAAGCGTCTGTGTCAGTCTTTTATGAAAGGGAATTGGCAGTTAGAATTGGAACCTCTGCACATCCTTTGGAAACTACAGCTTGATGCTAACCATATAGTGTCTGTATAATAAACTAACCATATAATATAGTTTTCTACCATACAAAATATGTAGTAGAATATAATTACCATTTCACAGCACAAGTCATTTATGTAAAACACTTCTGCAATGAACACAAGCTCATTTAAAATACATTCAGACAATACAAGTAAAGGAAAAGTCTCTTGGCTGTCCCCCATCTCCCTATACTTACTGTGCCAATTTCAGTCATCACCTTAGGAGGGGGAACCCATGTCACCAGTTTGCGATATGTTCCTGTGTGTCGATATGTTCCTCCGTGTCTTTTTACACATAAAAAAGGCATAAAAGAAGAAGACAATATAGGGATATAATTACATTTTTTTAAAATTTGCGTTTGCAACTGCAATTAAATGTATATATCATCTTACTGACTTTCGGGATCAGCTTTCAAAAAAGAAAGAGTCTCGGGGCGCCTGGGCGTCTCAGTGGGTTAAGCCTCCGCCTTCGGCTCAGTACATGATCCCAGGGTCCTGGGATTGAGCGCCCCATCGGGCTCTCTGCTCCGCAGGGAGCCTGCTTTCCCCTCCCCCTCTGCCTGCCTTTCTGCCTACTTGTGATCTCTCTCTCTCCTCTCTCTCTCTCTCTCTGTCAGATAAATAAATAAAATCTTAAAAAAAAAAGAAAGAGTCTCCTACAATAAGGCACAGCAACTTTTGCTTTAAACTCAAGACTATATATAAAAGGTCCTTCATATCTGTCTATATAGATGCATCTCATAATTAATTATTGCATAATGCCCTGTAGCATGACCATGTCGATATTTGTTTACACCTTCCCTTATTGATAGAATTTTTGTTATTACAGTCAATGATGCAATGAATATTTTTGTGCATTTTTCTCTGTATTTGTATGTGAATTTCTTTGGGGAAGATACAAAATGGTAGAATGACTGGGTCAGTGAATTCTTACACTTCACATTTCAATGGAAGCTATCATTGTTCTCCAAGACCCTTGTTCTAGATTATGCTCCCACCATATGTGGGGGTGCTCAGCTCCCCATCTCAAATAATACACAATATTACTCCTTTTAATTTTTTGCAATTTGATGAGTATAAAAAGTTTTCTAATTATTGGGTCATTCAATTTTTTAAAAAGATTTTATTTACTTATTTAGAGAGAGCTTATGAGTATGGGGAGGGGCCGAGGGAAAGAATCCCAAGCACACTCTGCACACTGAGTACAGAGCCTGATGCAGGGCTTGATCCCACAACTCTGAGATCATGAGCAAGAGTCAGACACTCAACTGAGCCACCAGGCGCCCCAAGGATCATTTAATTTTTATGTCAATATTTTGTTGTCTTTGTAAGTTCCTCATTAAAGAACAATCCTAAATATATTTATACTTAGATACTTGTATTTACAGCTTGTCTATTATGGGTAAGATTCTGGAACCCAAAGTTGGCAAAACAAGGTAAGCAGTCCTTTCGAAATGCAGACATGGAAACTTGTAATTTTGGCTAGTTGAGTTGTGTATTGTATCTACCTCAGAGATGATTTCTGCTTTAATGTTCCAAGGGAAGACAGCAAAAATCTTCACAAACTAACCTTAAATACATCTAGTAGACCTAAGTAAAGTAAGTTTACTTTTATAAACATTTACTCTGCAACTATTATATTCATAGCCCTCTGCTAGGACTAAAAAGATAAATGAGATATGATATTTACCAAGTATTTTATAGTTTAATAATGAACACAGATAGGCTAAAAAATAAATGTAATGCAAGGAATATGTTGCTAAGGGTCAAATGACATTTAAACTGGGTGCTCCAGAAACTTTAAGAAGGGAGTTCTAATTGAGGTATTAGGACTGGCTTCAGAGCTGGTGTGTGGGTAAGACCTTGAACACATAGACCTCATGTGGCAGGGAATAGAGAAGAACAGTCAAAGCTGAGAGAAAAAGGAGAATAGCACAAAGTTGAGGCTGTACATCATCCTCTAAGGCCTAATATCTGTGTGTGTGCGTGTGTGTGTGTGCATGTGCGTGCGTATATGCACGCACACATTAAGGATGGGATTTGGGAATTAATGTGGGAGATAAGCCCGGAAAGTTATTTGGGCCCAGAATGGACATTAATCTATAGGGCAGTACTTTTCAAAAGGCAGATCAACTACACCTGGACAGGTTAGCCTGCTTATTTAAAATGCTCATTCCCACACTCCAACTGGATTAAAATATCAGGGATTTGGGGCCTAGGAGGTCTTCATTTTCAACAATATCCCATAAAGCCTTGGTTTTTGTGTTTTTGTTTTAAGTGCATTAGATTTGAAAATAACTCTTTCAGACGAGAGTGAGCCTTTGAAAAACTTTGACTTCTTCTGGGAGGGTTCGAAGGAAATCAACCACTTAGAGAACATCCTGCAGGTGGTGAAGGGAAAAGAAAGGGAAATGACCCTGGGGAAAAAAATCCTACTGACTAGTGCCCTTGGGACATACTGTCTTTGGGATTGCTCTAATATCAGGATGTATGTGGTCAGAGCAGCCCAGGTCAAAAGCAGAGATGCATTTAGGATCATTTAAGACCAATATTAACCTTAATGCTCTTTGAAAGAGGCATAATTACGAATGTAAAAGTCAGGTTACCTCTGATTAGTGAGAAACAGAGTGAAGGGTGAATCCATTAGGAGCTACTTGTAAGACATTCACACTTTAAGAACACTGCTTTGATGATTTTGAAGGCACTGCAGTGGAGGGGAAAGGCAGCTGAACCAGTTCCTACTTCAAAGACCTATTACAGTGTTTATCTTTTTAGGGCTATACCCTTAATTGTTTTGAGTGGCACTAAAAGGCTCTTTTAATTTGAATATGAATGACATGGCCACTTGCAGGTAAATTTTGGTTGACCATAAGTTTAACTCCATACTAAGATTCAACTAATATTTTTTAGATTGTTAGCATTTGCCTGGATATATTTATGTTTTCATGTGCATAATTCCACGTGCTTGTATACACTTTGCAATTATATTACAGATGCTGGTCCTTACCACTGTGAACTATTTGGGAGAGAGATCTTTATCACTTATTCGGAAATGAGACAAAGGACAAAGGTTACGTGTTTTCCCTCAGCACTGGAAACCAGGTTTTCCAAATTCTCATCAGAAGTCTTTAAACACCTTGAAGATAATTAAAATATGACAGATAAGGAAGTCGTTCACTGTCCCCTGCAGATATAGACACCCCCGGAGAAATACAACAGTCTGAGACATGGGAGGAGAGCCACACACAAAGGATTTTGAGAATCTTAGCTGTGAGGAGGTAGTTATAGTTCAACAGAAAGAGGCAAACTCCTGGACAACTGGAAGATTCTTTCTGCAGATAGATATTTGAGTTGGATCTTTGGCTGCTGCAGTAAATCCCTGGAGCAGAAGACGCTCTTCCAAAATCCTCTTCAATAGGGGTATCATCTCATGAAGGGAAGGACTGCATAAAATGGGCTTAGGGTTTTTGACTGCACCACATCCAAGTTGTAATAAAAGGAATTGGGAAACTTAACAACATTCATGTGTACCTACCAACTTCAGGCGTTATGCTATTTATACACTCGGGAATTAGAAAGACAGATAGGATCTAATAGATGTAAACTTCCAGAAGTTACCAAAACTTATGAAGTTTTCTCATTGCTGGTGCTGCCAGAGTTTCCATTAGCACACAGTACAACGGCTTTCTAAAATAAGAAAGAGATATGGGGTATAAGAACCATGGCGACAGTCACTAGAAACGGTATATGTGGCCAGAGCAATCTATAAGAAACATGTAGTGTTGTTTTCAGCACTCCAGCCCTAAAACCCTAGTATTTTCCTTTATTGCCTTCAGCACCTTGAAACTTAAAAAATATTCTTGGGTCTTCCTTTGAAGACTTCTCTGAGTATTCATGTAGACATCTCTTTGGGCTGTACGCTTATAAATGAAATAGGATCATTGCCTTGATGAAACTGCATGGGAGACATCCAAGAAATATCTGCTCTAGGAAATAATTTGATGATTCAACATGTTGGCACTCTTTCTTCTGAACCAGGACTGGGCCGGCTTTAGTGTCAGGGGCCACTGTTGGAAGGTTTGGCTTTCAACTGAGCTGTAACATGGAGTCTTAATCTGTCCTGGTCAGTAAAAAGTCCAGCAACTTTTTCTACCCACTTAGAGATCTTCAATCACTTGGCCAAAATCCAATTTGGGTAACCTACAAACACTAGTAATTTCACTTGGATGACACATTACATTTTCTGTTCTCTTTGCCCCCCCAAATTTGCATCACATTACATGCTGTTAAACATGTTCTACTACCAAGTTGGCTGAGGCAGTAGGTAGCACGGTAACTATGCTTTGTACTCACTGACTCCGTTTGGAAGCCAAGTTTATAAACCACTTGTTTATTTGGCAAGAATGCAAAAGGAGTCTTTTATTTCTTCCTTCCCCATTTTCTATCTTTGAGTTGCATTTGTCTGAAAGAATTCCACAGGTAATAAATGGATTTATGTGAAGGGTTGTTCATAACAACAACTTGATGTTTTCAGTTAAAAAATATTTTTGTTAGTCTTGGGGAGCCTGGGTGGCCCAACTCTTGATTTGGGCTCAGGTCATCATCTCAGGGTCCTGAGATCGAGTTGAAGGTTAGGCTCCATGCTGAGCTGGGAGTCTGCTTCTCTTCACCTCCCTCTGTCTCTCTCCCTACTTGTACATGCATCTGTGCTTTCTCTCTCTTTCTCAAATAAGTGAATAAATCTTAATTTTTTAAATTCCTTTCTATGTTGCTGTAACAGAGAACTTAAGACTGGAACACACGGTTGTATAGGTCAGCTCTAGTTTGCCTTGTAGATATCTATGTCTAGAACAAGCCTTGAAAATCAATAATATTAATCTCTAAAGTACCCCCCCTGAAGATTTCAGTGCATATGTAAACATATTGGACTTGTTTGCTTTCCTTATGACCAGCATCCTTAATCCACAGCACCATCTTGAATTTTGATGAAGATAGGTAGAGAAGTTTAAGGAAGGTCCTATGCTTACCCCTAAAGCAACTCTAAAGCAAATGTGCTGTCACTGAGGAGACTCAACACACATAAAATGGTGCTAAAACAGATAGAACATGCTAAAATGTGGTGGAGAAAAATAGTATAGAAGTCATACTAACTGGATTTGAATTCTCATTCTACCACTTATTAGTTTTGTGATTCTGGGCAAGTCATTTAACTGCTCTCTGCCTCATCATTCTCAGCTATAAAATGGGAATAATAACAGTTAACACATCTAAGGGTCTTAGGACAGGATATCAGTACTGGGGATATTTATAAGATATTAAATAAAAAGATGCATGTAAACAAAGTGTGAATTTTTGAAGAGAGAGATTTCTTTGAGTCAGAATACTTAAGGGAGTTTCCATGGAAGGTTTAATGGATCAGGTTGAATTTGAGCTCTGAAATATTAAAAATTAGAAATATTTCTTTACTGTACTTAATGACTCCCTTCTGAAGCCAAGTTCATATCTTACTGACCCATCAGACAAAAATGTATCAATAGTGCATCTATTATTCCAAAGTCAGAATTTTTTAAAATTATGAAATAATATCTTTTTATAAAACATATAGAACATACACAGGTATAGAGAAGAAAATATAGAGCTCCAGTATGCTCTGTTGATATTTTCTTGCATTTCCTTCCTGTCTTTTTTTCTATGTGTGTATTTTAACCAAAATGTGGTCATAGTACATACGTGGTTTTGTGTCCTACTTTTTCATTAAATCCATTGGATAGCATTTTCCCTTGTTGTCACTTACTTTTAAAAACTTTTTTTTTATTATGCTTTGTTAGTCACCATACAGTACATCATTAGTTTGTTTTGTTTTGTTTTTAAAGATTTTATTTATTTATTTGACAGAGATCATGACTAGGTGGAGAGGTAGGCAGAGAGAGAGGGGGAAGCAGGCTCCCTGCTGAGCAGAGAGCCTGATGTGGGGCTTGATCCCAGAGCCCTGAGATCATGACCTGAGCCGAAGGCAGAGGCTTTAACCCACTGAGCCACCCAGGCCCTCCCATCATTAGTTTTTGATGTAGTGTTCCTAGATTCATTGTTTATGTGTAACACCCAGTGCTCCATGCAATACATGCCCTCCTTAATACCCACTACCAGTGACATCATATACCATCATGAGAAATCTATTTATTGCTATAGTTTGGATTATTTACAATTTGCCACTAGTATATAAAAACTGTAAGCATTTTTTTTTTACATAAGTTTTTGTGAGGTTCTTTGACTTTTTTTTTTTTTTTTTTTTAAGAATAGAACCCTAGAAATGAATATATTAGGTTAAAGACTGGGTTTTTAAACCTCTTAATGTTTAAAGTCAAAATTATTTCAGAAAACTTTAACTAATTTACTGTCTCCCTGGCAATGCTGAAGAGTTCATATCTCACTGAAAATTCACTATAATTATCACTTTAAAATATTCATCAGCTTAATAGATAAAGCATAGCATTTTCCTTTAAATTTGTAATTATTTGCTTACTAGCATGGTTGACCTTTCTTCATATGTTTCTCTGCTTTGGATTTCTCCATCTGTGATAGTCTGTACCCCTTGTTCATTTTTGAGGGGATGTTTTTGATGTTCCTATCTACATGTATGAGCTCTTTGTACAGTAGTGAAAGTAACTCTTGGTCACATTTGGCCAGCTTATTTCTATTTGCTTTTGATATACAGAAGTTTTACATTCTTACAAAGTCAGTTTAAGAATTTTTCATTGATTCATGATTTTGTTCATGTTTTTAAATTTAGAAAGTTTGAAATTTTGTCTTAATAAAATCTGTATAAGAAATTAAATTTCTACTAAGGAAAAGTAGAAGAGATATTTCTTTCTCTTTCTGATTTCTTTTGTCCTCTTCTCCCTCCTCCTCCTTTTCCAAAAGAGTCTGTTAACCAAAGACAATTTGTGGTTAATTTTGGAAAAATACATTTTTGTCAACTTTAAGGCTTCTACTCTTGGTTCATACCAGTATCTTGGAGAGTCTGTGGTAGTTAAATAGTTAAGGAGAAAATATTTTCCCATGAGCTGTAAATAAATTGTGGGGCATTGCTTGACAAAGATTCAAACTTTGGAATAGCAATTAAAAAAAAAAAATCACATTTTGCTCTTGACTCTGTTTGCTCATGACTTAGTAGAACCCAGTTCTCTTTGTTGAATTTGCTGTTGTTGTTGGTTAGACCCTGCTAAGGAGATAAATCTAAAATGCACATTGTCTCATCATTTGTTTTCCTGGGGGAGACTGATTTCTACCCTCTATACTGCTTTTCAGCAGGTCTGCCATAAGTGGGGAAGTGTTGGAGGAAGTTTACACAATCATATCTCATAGGAGGTTTAATGTAAATGAGATTAAACCTTAACATTGTTTGCCAATTATTTTAAATGTCAGTGTAACAGGTTTTTAAGGTTTTGGTATTTCTTGTTTTTTTGTTTTTTGTTTTGTTTTGAACGGAAGTATTAACTAGGACTGCCAGGGGCAGTTAGTTTGAGAAAAGCAATACTGTGCATCTTAAATTGGGTAGAAATTTTTATGACTCAAATTCTTCATTTATTATACCCAGATGGTGGGAACAGGCTGTTGTCTCTGATGCCCTGGTGGAAATAAACCATGAAGGGATCCTTTTCTAAGATGGGAGCCTCGCTAAGAAGTTTGAACATGGTGCCAGCATTGCGTTTTCTTTAACATTGTGACTGGTGGTTCACATTGCAGCATCTTTAACTTAAATATGATTCATTGACTTCCCTGAGATTTAAAGCTCTTCCTGAAAATTGCAGTTGCCTATATGTACATTGGCTAAGAAATTAACTGAAGGTGTTGTTTTACCAAGTAACTACCTGCCTGAAACCTGAAAAGATGAAGCAATCTTTTTTTCACTCAACAAATTACTTGTTTGTTACCCATAAAGTACATGATACCCTAATGTAGTCAGAAAAAGAAGTTGTTGGAAAAAAGCTCAGTATGAAAGATGAACAAACTATTTAAAAGTACTATTTATAAATCATACCTTACTGGGAAATTCTTTTGTTTTAAG